ACTCAGCCCGGATTGTAAGATGGTTCAGGCCAGGCCGAGGGACCCCACCGGTGCACGATCAGGGCTGGGGAGGGACCACAGGAGGGCTCCAGTGCATGTCTGGCCCATCTTGCTCAGTCCCGATCAGCCGGACCCCAGCAGCAAGCTAACCTGCCAGTCGAAGCATCTGCCCCCTGGTGGTCAGTGAACATCATAGCGATCGGTTGAGCGGCCTTAGCATATCATTAGCATATTATGCTTTGATTGGTTGAATGGACGACTGGACACTTAGCATATTAGGTTTTTATTATATAGGATAGATCGGGTAGGTGATTTTGTGTGTGGGGGATAATATAAGTTTTTGTGATGTCTTTTAATTTCCTATTTGCTAGAACTTTAGGATGAGAAGAGGCTTTAGATAACCTGATTTACCCCCCCTTATTATACAAGTGAGGGAACTGGGTACCAGGACTTATCCAGGATGAAGTGGCTACTAAGTGGCAGTGATAGACCTAGGACACAGGTTTTCTGTTTTTCCTTGGACCTGGGATAAAACATTTAATCTCTCTGCATAGTGGGGTTGATATCTCACTCCTTTGCTATTTGCCTAGTAGCTTAGGTTAATAGATACAGCGTAAACTAAGACTCCGTATACCCCTTTCCTCCTATTGGTAAATCTTCTCTCCTCCTTGTTAAAATGTTTACAAGTGTCTACATGCAAAAGGTGACTATGTCATACATGTATCTGCTGTTTTTCATTCTCCTGGCAGGTATGGAGAATACAGAATCCCAAACAAAGCACTGAGCAAAGAAGACCATTATGTGGGCCATTGGAAAGAAGGAAAGATGTGTGGTCAGGGAGTCTATAGGTAATAACATTGGAAAGGTTGTAGGACTTTTTCAAAGAATTATGTAAATTTAAATGTTTGTGTAGCCAGAATTTTCAAGGAGTAAATTTTCTTTGCTCTTATGTCTGAAACTGTGTAAAGTCTTTTTTTAAAAGTTCAGCCTATCATCTATCACAAGATGAAAATACTAGGTTTTTATTTAGTTCTTAACAAAACTGTACAAACTTTATAAGCCCTAACTTTCTCATAGGCTCTCCTAAATGTCTTGCCTATAAATTTATGTTTATTATATGACTGTAATATGGACAAATCTATCATTCTTTCAGAGATCACTCATTTCATTTTCCTATTGGAAATGAGATTTGATTGGTGAAAAATAATCATATAACTAAATTGGTATAATTACCAGTAAGACATGAATATACTTTTAAGTTTCCTAACTTTGCAAAAATAATCATCAAAATTAAATGTGATGTGATGTTTATCCATCCCTTTTAACCACAGTTATGCCTCTGGTGAAGTGTTTGAAGGTTGTTTTCAAGATAACATGCGTCATGGTCATGGTCTGCTACGAAGTGGAAAATTGACTTCCTCTTCTCCTAGCATGTTCATTGGTCAATGGGTAATGGATAAGAAATCAGGATATGGTGTCTTTGATGATATCACAAGGTACAGTATTCTGCTTCTAATCTCAAAGTATTTCTCCAAAAACAGTGATGATTTTATGAAGGCTAAGTGTCTTAATTCGACAGTGTTGGGAAAAATTTTAATAAGAAGACTTGTCGGACATCATTTTATTCATTTCCTTGTGAACCAAACTATAGGTTACTTCTTTATATTGTCAGGGTCATTCAAAATTAAAATTGGTACCATTTTTCTTAAAGCTTCACACATAAAAAGCTTTTAGTGTCTCAAAGAGGCTACCAAATCATTAACTATTATGCAAAGAAAAACCTTTAATGAAATTAGTAGATAATAGGGGTAGACAGTTAGAGGGGAAATTCCATTTGCAGTCCTAGCATGGTATCTAAGTACCTTTTGCTCAGGTCTTCCTCTCAGGCCAGATACTTGTCACCATGCCACAACCCAGATATCAAGCTTCGTTAAATTCATGTAAACATTGGGGTGGTGTGCAGTTCTTTTGACTCCATATTTGACTTGACCTGATTTGTCTTTGGACTTAATTATGTACTCTTTTCCCTTCATGTTGTTGTCATAATTTGAAATTTTTAAAAAACTTGCTGTTGCCCTGGCCAGTTGCTCAGTGGTTAGAGTGTCAGCCTGTGACCAATAGGTTGCAGGTTCAATTCCCAGTCAAAGGCATATGTCTGGGTTGTGGGTTTGATCCCCAACCCCGGTCAGGGCACGTGTGAGAGGCAACTGATTAATGTGCCTCTCTCACATTGATGTTTCTCTCTCTCTTCCATCCACCCCCCTTCCCTTCCACACTCTAAAAAAAATCAATGGAAAAAATAGCCTGGGATGAGGATTAACAAAAAAGTTTGCTGTTATTCCTAAAATCCATGCTTATTTAACAAGGAGTTTGTACTTATTTTGTCTTTTTAGTGGAGATTAGTAAGATTTCTCTAAGTTTGAGTAGGTGAAGCATGAGCCTTCTTGTATGATAAACCTCATTTCTTTTTGCTCTCTCTTTTTTTGGTTACTAAACTTTTGGGTAATAAAAAGCTGCGTAGGTTTGAGTTTGCCTATCACATTTTGAATAGTTATATATTTTAAAGTTATCGTGGATGTCCGTGGAATAGAAGCAGATCTATGTCGGGTGGACTAATAGTTAATCCCTGAGAGAACATTGCTCTGAGGAAGATGCCGTTTGCTATCGCATGGTCTCGTGTTTGAGGCGATGGAATTAACCACTTGAACTAGAAAAATTGAACACCTAGGGTGATGCTTGGTATCTTTCATGTGATGATTGTTTTTTCCCACCTCATCTTTATCATCATTGATTTTTCATTTCTCTTTCTATGAAGGGGGGAAAAGTACATGGGAATGTGGCAAGATGATGTATGTCAAGGGAATGGTGTGGTAGTTACCCAGTTTGGATTATACTATGAAGGCAACTTTCACCTTAATAAAATGATGGTGAGTGGAATATTTACACATAGTTACTATTGACTTTTTTAAACTCCTATGTTATTAACTTTTAAAATTATTTATTAATGTTCTACCTTCTTAGTACTATTTTTCTTGTCTTTAAAAGTATGTAAGGCTTTAGGGAATATGACTGCATGTACTCCCAAGTTGTCTGCATTTTATGTATTGTGATTTTTGTCTTGTTTCTTTACCTAGGGAAATGGGGTTTTGCTTTCTGAAGATGATACGATCTATGAGGGAGAATTTTCGGATGACTGGACTCTTAACGGAAAGGTTGGAAACTAACTTCCTTCTCTCTCTCTCTAATACAATGCTACTCATTTTCCTTGACTTTTTAAAAAGGCTAACTTCATAAAATTCACCTGTTTCAATGATTTTTAGTAAGAGTTGTACAACCATCACCACAATCCAGTTTTGGAGCATTTTCATGACCATCTCCTGCCCATCTGAAGTCACTCCTCATTTCTAACCCACCCCAAAGAACCTCTAGTGGACTCTATTACTCTATAAGTTTGCCTGCATATAAATAGGATCATACCACTCGTGGTCTCTTCTGTGTGAGTTCTTAATAGCACAGTGTTTTTGAGGTTTTCTCTCAAACATTGATGTGAGAGAGGCACATTGATCAGTTGCCTCCCGCATGTACCCCGATTGTGGTTGGGGATCAAACCTGCAACACAGGCACATGCAGTACTTCATTCCTTTTTATTGCTGAATAGTATTCCAAAACCACATTTTGTTTATCTCTTTCTTCACCAGTTAATGGGCATTCTATTATTTCCAATTTTAGTGTAAACATATGTTTTTATTTCTCTTGGGTAGATGCCTATGAGTGTAATTGCTGAGTTGTATGGTAAATTGATAATTAACATATTATGAAATTGCCAAATTGTTTTCCCAAGTGGCTACAGCATTTTGTATTCCCCCCATCATTGTATGAGGGTTCTAATTTCTCCATGTCTTTGTTAATATTTTTTATTTTCTGCTTTTTTTTCTCTTTTTTTGCCATTCTAGTGGATATGAAGTGTTATCTTGTGATTTTTAATTTGTATTTCTCTTAAGACTAATGATGTTATATGTCATTAGAGCATATTTTCACATGCTATAAATTTGCCTCTGAGCACTCTTTTGGCAGCGCCCCATGCATTTGTATAAATTGTGTGTTCTTTTCATTCAGCTCAAAATATTTTACCAATTTTTTTCTGTGAGTGTTTTTTTTTAACAGGGTTTATTTTCACATACTCTTTTTGCACATGCATATACACACAACTAAAAGAAAAGAATTGGGGGTTGGGTAAAGAGTAAGTTAAAAAGGGAAATGTTAACCATTTGGTGCTGTTTTTTCTCTTGATTTTTTAAATTGGAAATACTTTTTCTAACTCCATATTTTCTCTGACTTTACCTAGGGAACACTGACTATGCCAAATGGAGATTACATTGAAGGTTATTTTAGTGGAGAATGGGGATCTGGCATAAAAATCACTGGAACTTACTTCAAGCCTAGTCTGTATGAGAGTGATAAAGACAAACCCAAAGTTTTGTGAGTAATTAATGTTAATTCTGGATTAATTATGAATGTTTTTGGTTGTCTTGCTTTTATCAAAGCTGGTTAATATTTTAAATGTAGAACAAGTTTTTGAAGGTTTCTTTTCTTTTTTTTTAACGAAGTATAACCTTGAATTGTCAACTGACACTCCTATGGATAGCTAAATCTAAAGTCTTGGTTTAGATCAGGAGTCCTCAAACTACGGCCCGCGGACCACATGCAAATACAAATATTGTATTTGTTCCCGTTTTGGTTTTTTACTTCAAAATAAGATATGTGCAGTGTGCATAGGAATTTGTTCATAGTTTTTTTTTAAACTATAGTCTGGCCCTCCAACAGTCTGAGGGACAGTGAACTGGCCCCCTGTTTAAAAAGTTTGAGGACCCCTGGTTTAGATTAAAGCCTTAGAGCACTGAAGTTTAAAATAAAAGTTTTGTATGTGGGAATAATACTACTGTTAATGGTGCAGGTGTCCAAGTTGATTAAGAGAGGGCATTCTTAAATGGAACCCTTACACAATTTGATTTGGAAAATAAAGATCAGGCATGTATACATATAACAAGTGAAATAGTATACTCTGCACACATGGAAAAGAAAGTTAAAATCTAAGTCTCTAAGTTATATTATGTTCTCCTGACAAGTTTTTGGCATGTGTATATTTTCCTTTATTGATTCCAGCTTTAGCTTTGTTTTTGTATTTTGGTAGCATCTCAGATTCTTTGTTCTGATGGGAACTTGATACATGTTTATTCTTAGAGTATTATTAGAACCCAGTATTCCACTCATTTCACCATTCCTATCATGAGTTGAGCAAAGCACAGAAAGTCCTTGTTTTAACAGGAATCAACTTTACAAAATCAGCTCTGTGTAAATGGAGAAAGCAAAGGAATCCATTCTGTGTGCTTTGTACTTAACAATTCATAGTCTTTAGTGTCTGATGAACATTAAGTAGTTAAAAACCATCTCTTTACAATTTTTATTCAGTGTTTTTAAAATAGAACCACCATCAAATCTAGGCAGTTTTGTCACAGAAGCACTCCCAATTGTGTATTAGTTTCTTTTTAGGATTTTTGCACACAAAAAAAGGTGATTAATAAAAGCGTGGTATGACTTTTTATAGCAGGAAACTAGGAAATCTGGCCGTGCCGGCTGATGAGAAGTGGAAAGCAGTGTTTGATGAATGTTGGCATCAGCTGGGCTGTGAAAGTCCAGGCCAAGGGGAAGTTTGGAAAGCATGGGAAAATATTGCTGTGGCCCTGACTGCCAACCGGCGCCAACACAGAGACAGGTGGGTGAATGCCTGCCCAGCACAGGGCAGAGCATGGGAGGAAGATGAAACTTAAAGCCCACGAGTAGTCAAGGCTTGCCACTCTTAACTTAAAAATATAATTTAATTTAAAAGTCAATGGTGTACTTTTTGGGGGGGGTAAGAATGATAAAACATCCTCCCCTACCACCTTATCTTCTCCTGAACTCAGCTATAAAACCCACACCGAATACATGGATAGCTATTTGAAAACTGAAAAGTAAATATCAGCTAGTGTACTGGGGAAGAACATCTGAGTTCAAAGGACCATTGAACCAGTCATGAGTTTACTAGGTTTTTAAAGGTAAATATCCCTCAGCCTGAACACAGTGTAACCTGAAACCTTGAAGCGGGCACTATGTTACTGTAGATTGACAGAGATCCAGAAAAAACCCTCTGCTTTGGCTCAAGATGCGAAAAAGAGACTCCTGAAGCTCAGAGAGAGTGGAGGAGATACACTGGGCTTGCTCGCTCTCCTCCATTTTCTCATGCTCCAGCCTCCACTACTTCTGTGGCAGGGCAATGCCAGCTGCTTGAGAAGCCATGACGGGAAGCTCGCAAGAGCTAAAAGTCTTGAGGAAATTCTTTTTTAAAAAGATATATGTTTTATAGATTTCAGAGGGGAAGGGAGAGGGAGAGAGAGAAAGAAACATCAATGATGAGAGAGAATCATTAATCGGCTGCCGCCTGCACGCCCCACACTGGGGATCCAGCCCTGACCTGGAATCGAACCATGACCTCTTGGTTCATAGGTCGATGCTCAACCACTGAGCCACACAAGCCGGGCTCTTTTTCTACTTTTTCTTATCCTTTTCTCCTGCTTTTCTTTTCTCCATCTGCCCTTTTTCATATCCTTATTTTTTAACTTAGCCAGTAACTTCCATAAGCATTGCTGAGCATTTAAGTTTGGGTCTTTTTTTCTGCATTTGGGATAAATGGGAATTGATTCTAGTGTTTCAGTCATGAAGGTCATGATTTTTACCCTCTACTCCATCAGCAGAAGAAATAGAAACTCCCAGAATTGACTAAAACTGGGCTTACCCTTGTGTGTGCTGCAGATGGCCAGCCCTCACTGACAGCCTGTTACGGTGGAATATTGACACTTTAGGCCTCCAGTTAACCTTGATGAGCTGTTGTTGAATGTTCCCAAGGAGTGAGGACGAATGAACTTTTATATAAAACCATATCTTATTTGTATCTCTAAAATAGTGTAAAAATAATGATTGTGTATTGTTTCTATTTTCTGATTGGTTATAATCTAATGATAGAGCGCCATTACCAAACATTTCTGCCGATTATAAGTAGTGTGTTTGGTCTTAGCCTCTTGGTGCAGAGCTTCCCTTTATCCATAATGTGCTTGCCTCACCACCTGCTGTAACATCCTCATTATCTCCTTACTTCTTGAACTCATTTTTATTTCTTCCTTTGCCCTCTGATTTGATTTCTTTTTTCCTTCGCTCTTCCTTTCCCTTTTATTCCACTTTTCTCTCATCACTGACAAATCTATCACCAGTTTTCTCTTCAGGCTGACATAGTATCTTCCAACACCATGGTTTATAGTGGAGTAAAACCTTCTTTAATTTCTTGTTGTTATGAAGTAACCTTAAATGCTGCTTTGAATGACTGTTACATAAACTTAATAGCAGGTCAGTTGCCGTATATGTGCTCATTTGGGGCAGACGCTGTTCTAGATCCTCCATTTTATCCTTTAGTTGTCAAACCATGTTTTACGTGCACATTACAATCATCTTGCTTTCTTGATGTGAAATTCACAAGAGGCTTTCTTTTCCCTTTTATAGTCCAGAGATACTAAGTCGTTCACAGACTCAGACACTAGAGAGTTTGGAATTCATTCCTCAGCATGTTGGTGCCTTCTCAGTGGAGAAATATGATGACATCAAGAAATATCTAATAAAGGTAAAACTAGAGTCAAAATTGCTCTGGGCTTGTGGATTAATGATGCAAAACCACACGTATCATCCATTATCTACTCGCTGCTCATTTTTGTCTTAGTCCTGGTTTTGCTTCTATGTATTTTTTTGTTAATTCTCTCCCTGCTCAGGCCTGTGACACTCCTATGCACCCCCTGGGCAGGCTCGTGGAGACACTGGTTGCTGTGTACAGAATGACGTACGTGGGTGTGGGAGCCAACCGCCGGTTACTGCAGGAGGCTGTGAAGGAGATTAAGTCCTACCTTAAGCGAATTTTCCAGCTGGTGAGGTAAGAGATCTTTCCATGAAAAGGTGGCAAGTTGTGGAATACTGGTTTATACTCATGTTTGGGTATCTTTGCCCTGAATCTAGAGATTACAACTTTGTGAAGAATCATTAATGTTTTCCTTTATCACAGAAACTATTCATCAAGAAAATGGTTTTGTGCTAGAGATCCTTAAATAGATTGAATCATGAAAGTACATTTTTACTTTTATGTTTATGCTATAAATATAAAAAAAGAAGAACCTTTGCCATTGTGAATTAATTTCCTTTATGTCTTTCTTACTCATTAAGTATAATAGAAGGCTAAAATAAATGTGTTATTTAACTGTAATTTTGGTATGAAATAGAGTAGTCTTATTTGGATTTCATCTCTAGGTACCATCACAGAGAAGATAAAGTCTAACATGAAGTTTTGTCCCTGAGTATTTATGTCCTGTTCCTTGACAACAGTATCATCTTTGTTCATTTGCTCAACAAATATTTATCGAGGGCATCTCTGTGTTAGCCACGATTCTAGCTCCTGGGGGAATTTATCAGAATAAAACAACACACACAAAACTTTTTTGAAATCTGTATTGTCCTGGAGCTTACATTGTAGTGGGAAAAGAGTAGATAAAATATACAATATGAATGCGACAGGGAAAGAGGATGGGGTTGGGGTAAGATGCTGCCGTTTAACAGAAGGTCAAGGAGGCCTGACTAATACGGTAATATCTGAACAGAGACTCTGAAGGAGGTTAGAAAGCGGGCGAGTAAGCATTTTTGGAAAGTTTTAAGGCAGTAAGCAAATCTGGAACTAGTGACATTCAAGATCATTTACTGGGTGTAAGCCAACAAAATATTATGTTGAAATAATTATGCAAAAGTTTATCAATTTGTCCCAGAAAACTTTCTTAAATATATGTGGAAATGTTTCAGCTTTTAGGGGCATTGTGATCTAAAAGACCACTGGGTTGTGAGTATTTCCGCTCTGACATTAGCAAGGGTATAATGAAGATAAGTTTCCTGACCTTCGTTAGCTTTACCAACCATAAAATTAGGGGGATAAGTCTACAAAAATAGAAAAGATTGCAGACTCTCTTTAAAGAGCAAGGGTCACAGTTAAAGTCTATAAAAATAAAGAGGACAATAAACTTGTTCATGGTAAAACCTACCATTTGAGATTGGAGATAAAATGTAGGGCAAATTCAGAGCCTAGAAGAAAATCCTCAACAATTTGGCAGTTTAATCACTTGAAGATTTTTTTCAGCAACTTGGCTTTTTATATAAATATTGAAAATTTTTACCTGAAACCTATATAATTTTATTAACCATTGCCACCCCAATAAATTCAATGAAAAAGTTTTTTAAATTTTATAATAATTGAGTTTTCATTTTTTCCTTAACGTTGGACATTTAGTTTCCACTGATACTTATCTATACTCTGAGAATAATGGTCTCTGCTCGAAGAGTTTATACAGATTGACCTCAGATGGGATTTTCCAATAAAAGAAACATAAAGATCGGAATTCTTCATTCTTAAATAACTAGACAGGAAAAAGCCATAGCACATGAAGATTTTTAGTGGTATTATTCATTATCGGCACTCTTAATTTTATCCTGTGAGAAGCATCAGTTAAGAAGCTCAGACAACTAAAATATTTAGTTGATATAAAGTTTGATTTCATGGGTCCTTAAATAGATTAGATAATGGGAATATGTTTTTACTCTTTCAGCCTCTCTGGAGGTGTAATTCTGTAATTATATGTTTTATTACTCCTTAGGTTTTTATTTCCCGAGCTTCCTGAAGAGGGCAGCACCATTCCTCTCTCCGCTCCTCTGCCCACAGAAAGGAAATCCTTCTGCACTGGGAAGTCAGATTCCAGATCCGAATCCCCAGAGCCGGGGTAAATGGACTTGGTGGGGATAGTGAAGAAAGGGGGTGGCGGCCAAATGACGCCAGAAAAGATGGTTTCTCTCAATCTCAGCTTCCTCATTTCTAAAGTGATGTGGTTGGACAGGTGATCTCCGAGGTTCCATTTAGCTCTCAAGTTCATGAAAGTGCAGCCGCAAATGACTGGGCACAAAGGCTGCTGGGGAGAGCCACCTCATGCTGACCTAGAATAATCACCGAGAAATCATCTCACAGTGGAAACCACGTGGGTTTCCAGTTAGACTTTCTGAGTTACGAGAAGAGTTCACAGTTGGTCCAAGACAGAACTCGGGGGCTAAGCTCCTCATGTGAACTCCATATGTGAAAATAGAGTAATATCATAGCTGCTCCTTTCCTCAGAATTTCCCATCTCTACTTTCACCTTGGATTCTGCATTGAGTTTTAATAGGAATGATTCTCCCTCTCACTGCACTGTCTGTAGTTACGTGGTAACCAGTTCTGGGTTGCTGCTTCCCGTGCTCCTGCCTCGGCTCTACCCACCACTGTTCATGCTCTATGCCCTGGAGAACGACCGTGAGGAGGACGTGTACTGGGAGTGTGTTCTGCGACTGAACAAGCAGCCAGATATTGCTCTGCTGGGCTTCCTTGGGGTGCAGAGGTACGTACAGCAGTGATGAGTGGAATCAAGTGGTTTTAATTTAAAATGGAAATACCATTATCAGGAATTGAGTACTTTGATATCTAATTATGTATACAATTTACAGTTTATTCACTTATTTGCATATCTGTCTTATTTCACAAAATAGTGATATTTAACAATCTTTATTTTTGAAGATGGGTATGGACCCCACTGTTCTTTAGAACATATTTTTTATTTGTGTGTGTGCATGCTTTATATATATCAAATTATATACATATAAGTTATCGTACCTGATATTTTGCAGTTTTTAAAGCAAAATATATATACATTCATATTTTTTTAAAAACCTAATTGTATTCAGTCTTGGGCATGCTTCCTTCTCTTCTTGTTCCTTCTCCCCCATACATAATTTCTAATTTAAAAGTTTTCACAGTGCTCTTTTTTTGAAAGGCATTGTTTCTTGTTATTCCAGGAGAATACTAAGTGATTATGCTTTCTTATGCTGTAATAAGGCTGATCACCCCAACGCCCAATAATTATATATTTGTGCTATCAAAAAAGAGACTAAACCTGAATTGGAAAGTAAATCTTTTCAGTGGGGAGTAATTTAATAGTAAAAATGAGATAAATAAGACTGAGTAAAGGAAATATTTTGGCCATTGTTAGGTCATATTCATAATATATAGGGATTTTAGAGTATAGAATAACAGATCCATAAGGGACATGATAGACCTTAAATTACTTCTGGAATGTTTATTAAAACTTGACCTGTCTATGGTACAGTTATTTTAAATGGGGACAGGAAAGCCAATATAGCCATCACCTGTTTTTATGGTGATTAATTTACCACAAGTAACAACTTGTATTGACAAAGTATGGATTCCATTGCAGGAAATTTTGGCCAGTGACCTTGTCAATCCTTGGAGAGACTAAAAAGGTATAGTAGATTTTAGTTTCCTTAGCAACTGTGCTTTTCTTTGGAATGGGGGATTTGAGATACTAGAAATTTCCACCTTACGTTGGTAGAATAGTACCCAAGCATGAATTATTCACCAAAGACCTGCACTCTGCCATCGGTATTGTTTTATTATTACAGTAAAAAATAGCTTTTCTGCCCTAACTGGTTTGGCTCAGTGGATGGAGCGTCGGCCTGCGGACTGAAGGGTCCCAGGTTCGATTCCGGGCAAGGGCACATGCCTGGGTTGTGGGCTTGATCCCCATTAGGGGACATGCAGGAGGCAGCCAGTCAATGATTCTCTCATCATTGATGTTTCTATCTCTCTTTCCCTCTCCCTTTCTCTCTAAAATCAATAAAGATATATTTTTTAAAAAAATAGCTTTTCTCATTGAGCTTCATAAGTACTCTTTTTGCAGGTTTTGCCAACCACAAAAGATGCTTGTTTTGCCTCAGCCGTGGAATGTCTACAGCAGATCAGGTAATCTCTTATTTGTTGGAAAAAAACACATAAATCAAAGTAGTGGTTAGTCTATTAAGATATTAATGAGATCTTATTTTTACTTAAGTTCCAAGCGCCCCTCCCCTCCTAGATGTTGTCAAAACAGCCTGGAGATAAGAAAGGCTCTTTTGAGACATTCTGTTACCTTTCACTCTACAAAGCCCTTGTATTGTCAAAAGTGGAGCGCCTACCCAGAAACTTACCTATATAATCACATCTTTAGCCAAATGGAAATTAGCTACACTTCCTCAGAGAAGAGCACATAATATGAAAATAAGATCCACTTGGTGAAAGGAGATGACGTGTGACTTAGTGAACTCTTCCAGGTGAATCGTAGATCGTTGGAAGCTTCTTTTCTCAGAGAACCATCGGGTTACAGAGGTCACCCCTTCCAGCGACTCATTGTGCCTGATGTACCTCAGGAGGGAATACTCAAAAAATGAATAACAAATGGCTCCAGTAAGAAAATTACCAGGTATATTTTTGTCTTTTTTTCCCCCAACAGCACAACGTTTACCCCATCAGACAAACTGAAAGTCATCCAGCAGACTTTTGAGGAGATCTCTCAGGGCGTGCTGGCGTCTCTGCAGGAGGACTTCTTGTGGTCCATGGACGACCTGTTTCCTGTTTTCTTATATGTGGTGCTACGGGCCAGGTGACCAGTCTTTCTGACTTTAATGTTAGTGACCACTCATTTTAACATGTATGCCTTTTGCTTTTTTTGAACTGATGACAGGAATATGCTCCCCCCCACTAAAAAAAATTCTATTTCTATTAAACCATTCCACTATGCCATTACCTCTTTGTCGAGCTATTCTTTCTTTCCCCCTCAAATAGATTCAGAAAGAAGATGTACAAGAAATGATTCGGTATCTTTTTCTCGTTGGGCAGGATTAGGAATTTAGGCTCTGAGGTACATCTCATTGAGGATCTAATGGACCCATATCTTCAGCATGGGGAACAGGGCATAATGTTCACCACCTTGAAGGTAAGTATAGGTGTTATTTAATACTACCTTAAAATCTACCCTTCAATTACCATATTACAGATCTGTCATTAGCCAGTTTTCTTCTTTATATAAGTTTAATGCAAACATTAAGTGCCTTTAGAGCACATATCTTCTTATATAATAAAAGCCTAATATGCAAATTGACCGAACGATAGAACAACCGATTGCTATGACGTGCACTGACCACCAGGGGGCAGGCGCTCAATTCAGGAGCTTCCCCCTGGTAGTCAGTGTGCTCCCACAGGGGGAGTGCCACTCAGCCAGAAGCTGGGCTCCCAGCTA